GTTGTTTTAAGGAAAGTATTAAGACTTTATTAGCAAGGAAGTATAAAAACTTCTTGCGAACATCTTTTTTGTATGTGATCAAAGGATCAGTGGAAAGAGTTTTTTACAATTCTAGATGATTCAATTAAATAGTTTATTAAGAATATTAATAATAAAACAATAGCCTATTAATGGACACAGCAAAACATAATAGAGAAAAAATGAAGTTATCAAATTTTAGAATATTGGACTTTTATAAATGTTTTAGTATTGAAAAGAATTAAATATAGACATATGTGGGATACATCTTTTAAACAATTTCAATAAAGAAGTTATTTAATTAAACTAACCAATAATAAACTATTTACCCTAAGTAAGTTGGTTATAAAAAGATTAGATCTATACATGCAAGTAAAATATATTACATATAGTTAATAAGATGAAACTATAGAATACTTACTAGAATATTTAGTATATAAGGACTAGTTACAAGAGATATGAAATAAAGAAGTAAATGAAATTATTAGAAACTTTAAAAAGCTATTGTGGAAAAGAAAGAGAAAGGTTAAAGAGAAAAATTTCAAGCTGATTATCAATAACCAAGAAGAAATAGGTGAGTTTAACAAGTGGATCTCTAGAGTAGTAGAATAGATTTCTAAAATCAACCAAAATACAACTAGTTTATATACTGGCTTCATAAAAACTAATCTTATTTTAGATTTGACAAATCTAAAATATCAAAGTAAACATATAGAAAGAATAGTAAAAGAATAGATAATAAAAATATAAAAAAGAATCTGTAACCAAGTTCAAAAAGAAGTATGAAACAAGAGATATAAAAAGGTAACTGAATAGAAATAAACACAAGAAATAATAAAGAGAATAAGATAAAAAGATCTTCATATCTTTCAGATTAGAAAACTATGACTTTGAAGAAAAGAAATCCACTATTAAAAGAAAAAAAACTTGAAGATAAAAGCTTCTGAGAAATTTTAATAAAAAGAATAAAGTATAGAATGAAATAGTTGGATTTTAAGCTTTATCAGAACCTTGCAAAGTGATCTGCAGTAGTGACCTGTAGACAATTAAGTTAACAGTTGAAAGGGTCTTTACTTGAACTACTAATGGAATGATAAATTACTTTCGAAGTTGTATTTAGAGTTTTAATAATTCTTAAAATAGAGATGAGTAAATTAGGTAGAGACTTGGCTTTAGCAATACATTTTAATGTAAAGTATATATATGTTTAATAAAATATATATACCTAACTTAACAGAGAATAAAAAAAAAATTTTTATAATATAATACTAATTAATAAAGCTAAAAAAAGGTTTAATAAATAATAGCTATATGAAGAAAATATATTAATATTAAAGATTATATTAAAACAATAAACAAAAAAAGAATTGGTTTAAATTGAATAATATAAAGTAAATTTAAGATTTTTAGATTCAATAAAATGAAATACAGTATAAATTGATCAATCTTTTAAGATTAGTTCAACTTATATTCATGTCAATTCTAAAATTTAAAAACTGAATTGAATATTTTAAAATTTGAAATGAAACTAATCTGATTTGATAAGTTTTAAAATTTAAAATTTAACTTAATTAATTTTAAAATTAAAATCTGATCCTATTAAATTTAAAATTTAAAATCTGATCAGATCAGATTTTAAAACTTGAAAATCAAAACAGATTTGATTATAAATGGATCAAATCAGATCTAGTTGGATCAGATCAAATCCAGGATCAATCAAATTCAGATTTAAAATTATGATCACTACCTTTAACTAATAATGTATGAAGACAAGTTAGCCATCATGTGAAAGTCCATGAAATATTGTAAATGTTTTTCTGATATCTCAATAAAGACATGCCATGATGACGGGTTAAAAGAAAAACAAATGAATAAAGTCAATTAAAAAAAATAATTAAAGATTGATATTTCAGGTAATTATTTGTGTGTAAACTTTGAGGAAAAATGGTTTGACGATTACACGCCTTGAATTTGCACGTGCAACATTTCTCATGGTTTTATTAATTCATTGATATAAGTGATGAACATGTAAAGGAATCGCGACTATCAACATTACTTCTCAAATGATCATGTTGTACAAGTACAATCATGAAATGGTAATATTAAAATATACTAAACGGCAAAACCAAGCAACCCATCGAAATTAAACATTGTAACTTCTTATAAATGTAATCAAGAAATTCTACTTTTGGGAACCTTCATTGGCGTATGAAAGGATGGTCGCATCATATTACTACGTAAGCATACAACGTTTTGATTTGTAATATGCTTAGGCGAGGGTTGAATTCTTTCTTTGCAAATTTCAGCAGAACGGGTGACTATATTCTTTTGTAGAAGAGGCAAAATTAGAATATAAAATCCAATAATATTATACATTATATACTTACTTTCATTTGCATAAGACATTCGATTGCCGTGGGAAGTATAGCAAGGTCATAATTGTTTCGAGGAAGAAAAAACTTTCCCAAAAGAATCATCCGGTATATTGCTTCGTATTTCAAGTCCATAGCAAATATACTACATTGAAAACCTAGTTACAAAAATGCAAGCAAACGCATTAAATTATAGGTATTAATAGTATTAATAAACGTCAATTCAAACAACTTGCCTTCAACCAGTAAACCACAAATTGTCAAATCATCATTTTTTATTCCTTCACCTATACATTTATCGATTATGTCTTTCATTTCATTTCCTATTTTCACCACGTCACAATCTTCCAAAGTAATTTTTTTTGATATAACATAATCGGCAGACTTTATTTCTGATACAAGCAAATAAAATTTTTTACCACTAATAGGTATATAAACAGAAAAATCTGCTTTTCGTCCTTGTAATGATGGATCAAATTTACGTTTTCTGTGTGCAGAAGCATCCAAGACATCTGTAGACCTGAAAATAATTCGATGATATATTTAATCATTATAATTACAATACGTGTTAAAAAAAATTATTACATAAATACTTACCATGAACATTTAAAATTATTGTTAATGAAAAATGGTTTAATTACGGGTTCCGAAACCTCATGTACAAAGGAATCTTCCTTCAAACCCTGTCTGTATGTTTCTGGTTGAAAGTTGTTAATGCTATAATATGATTAATAAATAAAGTTCTGTCAAGACAAGCAACAATACAGTATCTTCAAATTTTCAAGTACTTACATCGACTCGAACACCTCCAAAATCAAATCCTCTTGATCATCCTCGACTTGCTTTTGCCATCTCCTTAGCAATTGTTTGCAATTTCGAAAATTTTGGTTTGCAGTCTGTTTAAATAAACATGTTATTAATACAGGGAATAATTGCAAAATGATTTAAAAACCCATACCTTTGCCATTTTATAACATCGTAAAATGTCATTATCTGATAATTGATAGGGAGTAAATTCATTTTTAATGTTTTCGAAAATTATTTTTAATGACTGAGGATCAATCATTTCCTGAATCCCGGCTGATGCATTCTCCTCGAATAAAAATATATGATTCAAAGAACTACAATGATCATGGAAAATATTATAAGAACAACAAATAAAACGCATATAAAATATTTAAAAGTTTTAACTAACAGTATTTCAGCAACCTCCTCAATTTTATGATCAGAAGCCTTTTGAACAGACATATTGCGATATTCTAACAATAAATTCGAAACATCAAATGTGTTGATGATCCACTGTGTATATAAAGAAGGATTAAAAATCTTTTTCTAAATAAACTTAAATAAAAGTTTAGATATTACCTTTTTTGCACCATCACTTAAATTAGATTCTTTGATGCCCTGTCCTGTAAACCATTCATAAATATATTCGGGTTTCTCTTTTTTAAATTCCATATAAGAATCACTACTTGATTCATCAGAACTGGGATGATATGATTCATCTGTGTCACTCTTATTGGGTGTTCCGCATGTAGCAAAAGGATTACCGTGTTCATTTTTTCCTATCTCCTGTAATAAATTTATAATATTAAACCAAATAAATTATCAATAGGTTTAAATCCACAGTACTAACCTTTGCCAAACGCTTTGGAGGGCTTTCTTTGGCACAGTCTAGAAACCGTTTTGTAAGTCGAGTAGTAGTAGCATTTACATACGTTCCCATTTGTTCATTCACATTGGTAGTCAAGATTAGGTCATATTCATCCTATCATAATGATAAACCCGAAATTTAGCGATTGATATGAATATAGGTTAATATAATTCACTGACCTCTTTATCTTTGATTTTGTTATTAATGAATTTTTCATTTACTGATCTCCAGAATTCATCTACACACTTGGAGGACTTTTCATTCTATTTATTTGAGAAAATAATTCAATGTCCTTTCCATAAACTAATTTCGTTTTGGCAATAACATGTAAGAGCACCCAAAGAAACGCGTAATCCACTATCACCAGCCAACACGTAATCAGCCAGCTATTTGGGGGTTGTCAATACGTCACGTTATTGTCTCTGTGACCGAAACGTATTCTAGCTCTTGGTTCAAGAACGCCGAGGAAACGCGTAATCCACTATCACCAGCCAACACGTAATCAGCCAGCTACTCGGGAGTTGTCAATACGTCACGTGGTTGTCTCGGTGACCGGAACGTATTCTAGTCCTTGAACACATGAAATTGCTCAATCTCAAGCATAAACAATATATATACTTAACTTTAAAGACATCTAACCATTTTTTTGCATATTCGTTTTGACTAGATAATATTTCTAATGCTTTTTTGTAATCTGAATGCTCCTTTACTTTGTCGTACGAAAAGTCTTCCTGTTTCTGCCTGTATTGTAAAAAATTTAATAGCGACCAATTCGAAGTTTTCTTTAAAAAATCTATTATTTCTTCCATTGGTGATATGTAGATTTCGAGTTTATGTCGATCAACATCCATGTTACGCAAACGAGTATTTCTTAGTGTGTAACTAGGGCGGCCGCATATATGCGTTGGCAAATCAAAAATATGCGTGCGGTAATTTATTATATATGCCGAAATATACCCGAAAAAAAATGCAAAAAAAAAAGTTAAAAAAATGCGAAAAAAAAAGAAAATTTTATTATATTTATTAATCCTTATTAAAATATAAAACATTTAAAATGGAAATTGATTCCTTCAATAATGAACAACATTTATCACTAAGAATATTTCTATAAGATGAAAAACTTCTTTCTACATCAAA